GGGAGTGGAGGTAGTGAGGTCAAGGAAGCAGGGCTCTAGCTACTCCTCTACTCCCGAAATCAGAAAAACTCTGCTTTTATGTTTTATCTAACAGGAATTGATACAAAATCTTATTTGGTAAGAGAAGACAACTGGACCGGTGGAAAAAGCACAGATGAGGCTGAATTTGAATCCCGGTGCTGCCATTTACTAGCTCTGACCTAGGAAAGTTATCCAATCTTTCCGAGCCTTAGTTTCCTCTTCTATAAAATAGGTACAATATTATTTGCCCAAGATAAAGCACATAGCACAGGGACTTAGCACATAGAAAGTGCTAGCTACATGTCCATTCCTTTTCTGAAGGACAGGATTTTGTATGGATATAGGCTTAAATATATATATTTGGGTAAGTCTCTGCAGACAGTTCTTCTGTAACCTACAGCCATGCAAAAGACTGAGAAAGATCTCAGGGAGCAGCCTTTACTCTCTTTAGCATTTCCTGGCTGCGGATGCCAAGAACAGTTACTACCAAAAATCCTCAGCATCTACTTACTATTCCTCTTCTCTGTTTTCATCAGTTAGTTTCCACTATATACTCAAATATACTTTTAAAAATTATTTCTAATAAGCTAAGTCAGTTAGCAAGGAAAACCAATCTAAAAAGGTTTCTCTCTCTCTCTCTCACTCTCTGTCTCTCTCTCAAATAAATAAATTTTTTAAAAAATCTTTAAAAAATAAAGGGGCACCTGGGTGGCTAAGTTGGTTAGGCGACTGCCTTCAGCTCAGGTCATGATCCTGGAGTTCTGCTCTGCAGGGAGTCTGTTTCTCCCTCTGACCCTCCCCCTTCTCATGCTCTCCCTCTCTCTCTCACTCTCTGACTCTCTCTCAAATAAATAAATTAAAAAAAAAATCTTTAAAAAGGATTTTAAGCGAATGGACTCCTAGGCAGATTAAGCTTAAAAGGGCCATTTGAGTGGGTCCATGCAAGACCATTTAAGAAAAGCACAGAGATGAAATAGCCCCATCAAACCAGCTCAGTTATTGTCTTGCAAAATGATGTCTATAGAAGCTCCTTAGAGCTATTCATGCTGCTTAGCTCTTGTTGCAAGCTGGATGAACAAAACAGAGCAGAGACAAGCTAAGGGAAAAGTCACTGGGAAAGCTACCCCATTTTAATGTCATTAAGATCACAGAAACCTACCAACAAATATTAATTGCAAAACAGGGAAGGAAATCCCAATAGTAAATTTTACCATCCTAATTCCACAATTAATCAGCGTTGTGATTTTAGTCAAGTTACTTAACTAAAGTCAGTTTCCTCATGATTTAAAATAACGTGTTAATACCTGCCTTAAAGCCTTGTTATGAACAGTTTCTTTTTGGTGGTATTCTTGCCAAAAATCCATAACCTAATCATGAGAAAACATCAAACTAGTAAATAATTAACCAATCCTCTTCAAAAGTGCCAAGGTCATGAAAGAGTGAGGAAGTGCCATAAATTGGAGGAGACATGCCAGCTAAATGCAACATGGGATCCTGGATTTGATCCCAGACCAGGACCTGTAAGAGACTAGTGGAAAAACTGGTGAAATTTGAAATGTGTCTTTAGCTAGTATTGTACCAAACTTATTTCTTGGCTTTGATCATTGTATTATGATTACGTAAAAGGAAGCTTGGTGAAGGAGGTAAATTTTGCTAATTTTGCAACTTGATAAATCTGAAATCATTTTAAAAGAAAAAAAGTTGAAAAAGGAGGAATTGTTTGAAAAGCCTAGTCATGAGAACTGAATACAAGAACAATAATTTAATACATTGCCTTTTTTTTCTTTTTCTTTTTTTTTGCAGGCATAATTGCTTCATCTAATGGCTAAACTTGGTAGCCATTAACATTGGGAATGGTCACACCCTGCTTAGGACAGCTAAGAGTGAGGCTTGTTGTTCAACTGCAGCAAAATGTGGACATTTACACTGAATGACTACAAATATTCTTGCAAAAGTCTACTATCCATCAATATTTCACTCTTGGTACAACATCATCATAAGTTAGGGCTTCAAGAAGTGTGGATTCTGTGTTTGGCCAATGATGACAGGCTTAAATTTACCTAATGCCATCACTATTTAAAAGTAGCCTGTCAAATCTTCATTCCTCTGACTCTGTGACTACTCTCATCTTGTCAAACGTCAACAGTTTTTTGTGAGGTCACACCTGGCAAAATAAACAGCTTTCACATAAACTGTAGACAACTCACAATGAGTATGGCTTGAAACACTGTTATTCCCAGATTTTATTTTTTATTTGAAACTTGAGTCTATCTCTAGCTTTCAGGGGCAAAAGCCTGCCTTTGAGGTAACTAAAGGTCCTCAAAGCCAACCTTATTACTCAAGATTTTGTTTTTTAAAGAAAACAACCTAGGAATCAAAATGCTTTATCAGTCATAGTTTCCAACACAGCGTTGCCTTGGCTCACTCACTTTGGCCTCTTACCTCAGGGAGTGACTAGGTAACCAAACTAGTAACCCGCAACTTGGCTATTTCTTAGTTTCTAATAGAATCATCCATATGATAAAAATGTATTTTCTATTAGACTATTCTCTTGCAAAATAATTTTTGTTTTCTACAAAGGTTATGAGATATCGTAAAAATGTCCAATACATCTGGTTTAAGAATCTAATTCTTCCTTCACATATTTCTGCATCTGTTCCCAAAAATCGCTTTGACTTCAAAGGAAGCTTTTCAAGAGAAAAAGAAGATACATACAGGAAAAGTGGCCATAAATTTCTATTCCTTTTCTAAGGCCATTTTAATAATAGCACTGTGGGACAAGTATCTATTTAGGTTTTTAGAGATCTAAAATATCACAGATGATATTAATGACTATGCATTTATATGGAGATTTACGCTTTAACACTTTATTCTGAGTCTAAAAGTGATATATCTTCAATTTTGAACATGTGGAAAATATAGAAAGCCTAAAGAAAATTTAAGTGACTTTTAATCCACTATTTAGGAAGACCAAAGCAAAACAAAAAAGTTAAGACTGGTTGTTTCCTTCCATATATTTTTGTGTGTGTGTGCATATATTTAATAAATATTTATTTACAAACAATATTATAATTACACTATGAAAACAATTTTGTATCTTTTCTCAGTTGGTTTTTCAAAAGACTACATTAGCTTTTCAAACCATCATAGTTAATGACTGAAAATCACATGTAGACTTATACTTTAAAAAAGAAATGCTCTTGCTTACAATTAATTCCTAGTCTACTCAACGATAAATTAAAGGTTTGGAAACACTGATCTGTTCTGGAAATTCTGCATTTTGAAACTATCTAGACTAGTAGTTGATTAACCTTAAGATAACCATATTCATTAATTCCACTGAAACAATACCAGAGGTTTAAGAACTTTTATCATTTATAATAACTTAGTGCCCTAAAACTCCCTGGGTAATCATTAGTGGGCTCTAGCTTATTTTCCTTTTCTCTCTGATTTTCTATTTCTCATGACATCCTCACCTCTTCGGTTTGGAAAGAGGAAGTTGGATCTAAGGTTTAGTTACTTTGGTACCACAGGTTTTAATATGCTATTAGTTAGCTTTTATAAAATAGTAATCAACCAATTCTGGCTCTGCAGAATCAAACCCTCAAACTTCAAAGAGAGGAGTACTGAATGGATTTATCTAATTTTGAATCAATTCTTACCTAACAGTGCTGCCTGAAATGTAAAATAACACTTAAGTAGCTGTTTCGTTGACAAAGAGCTCTCTGGTATTTCCTTTATCCTTAAACGAATCTGGTGAGGCCCATCTCAACGAGGAAAACTTAACTACAGAACATTAAGTAATTTATGAGATGACCGGAAAAACAAGTTAAACTCAAATCTTGGTTTTCATAATTCATCACGTTGCCTTCCTTTGGCTTCATAATCATGGAGCCACAGATTTTCCAAAGCTTGAAGGAACATTAATGGGTCAGTCAGTCCCACCCTTCCTCCACCCATTTTATTAAAGAAAATAAATCCGGGGAGATTGACTTGTCCTGCCACAAGTCCTAGCGAGTGGCAGACAAATCTCTTGAACTTCGATTTCCTAATTTCAAGTCTAGTGCTCTTTTCCAATACACCAGTTCCCACACAAAATCCACATACCTATGCATTTTGACCACGAATATGCGAGGATGCCAAGAAATCATCTGATAACCACTGAATCTCAATTTTCTTCGCAGGTCCCTGAAGATATGTCCCAAGAGATGTACAACAGAGTGCCTACCACCAAGATCGTACTTGTAAGACATTTAGTAAATGTCTGAATGAATGAGGAAGTATCTGAATGAGTGAAAGGTGACTATATATATATATATCCTCCTCCCCCATGAGGGTAAAATTGGAAATACTGACGGGGTGGGTTGAAGCGGGTGTTCCATGCTTTCAGCACGACAGGGTAACGAAACTTTGGCAACTAATAATTCCCTTACAGAGCCTGCTCCATGCAGGTCTGCCTTGGGGAATGAGGAACCCGAGGGGAAGACGCATGGACACGTGACACTGATATGCCGCCCTGCCAGAACGAAGATGTCAAGTGGCCGCTCCGACTTAAATCGCCCAGTTCCTAACAAGACCTCCTCTAATTTCTCCGCTGGACCCTCAGTAAGAAGGGTGAAATAGTAATGGGACCGTGAGGAGGCGGGCAGCTGGGGAAAGACCCGCCCTCGGGTCTGAGAACTTCACAGAGGACTAGGCTTCCCGCGTTGCCCGGCAACAGCGGGACCGGGAAAGAGGCGTAGGCCAAGCGGGCAAGCGGACGCGCGCTCCTCCCCTCCACGGCGGGTGACGTCATCGCGCATCCCTGCGACGTCGCCGCGTTCCAAGTAGGAAGGCAGTCTTAGGAGAGTGGATCTTAGGAGAAAAGCGGCTCGGTATTCTCCAGAGGAAACGCGGGGAGAGAAACCAGTGGAGGGAAGGGAGACAAGAAGGACCTAGCCGAATGGGAAGCTGGCGGGAGAAAGGCCAGCTATGGTTACCTGGGGAGTCTGAGCAGCTTCGGGTCCTTTATGAAATGCCCGGATGCAGCTCCAGCACCCACGCGCCTTCCACATTGAGCGCATCGCCATTTTGAGAGGGGAGGAGCCGTAGTGACTTGAGTGACGTCTGCCCAGAGAGCCAGTCCCAGAGTTGCAGCTGTTTCGCTTGCTGCGTAAGCGCCCCTGTCTTCCGGGCGTACCTCTGTGCAGCGGCGTGCTGGAGTCCGGTCTTTGCCCAGCAGGTGGGGATAGGAACGGGGTGGGGCTTGGCTTTTTAGTGTTTGCCCTGGAGACCTGGTCTTTGTGCAGGCCTCCTGGTGGGAGAATGTCTTCTGGGGATTTTAGTAGCAGCGTTTCAGATTGAAAGTCATATAAATTGCCTTTGGGCTTCTAGCCATGCAGAGGCAGCTTTTAAGAAGTGTCTCTACGAATGTGGCCTACCCAGTCCGGTTCTAATGCACCTCTAGTGCATTAAGTGGTCCTGTGAGGCTTATGTGGCCTCATTGATGCATTCAGTCTACAAACCTTTGTTAAACCCTACCATCTGCTGGCTACTGAAGGTGCAAAACGCCTATCTTATATGGCCTAGTGCGTAGCAGGCCAATAAACGACGCACTGTTTCAAGTGTTATAGAAGCAAACCCCAAGACTGGGGAAGAGGGATAGTTAAAATTGTGGCGCTTAAGCCTGGTCCAGGGAGGGCTTCAGAAGGTGATACCTGATGGAAGAAATTGTTTGCATTTTGGGTTAAATTATGAGAAGAATCCATACTGTATTCCTGCCTCTGCTCATGCCCTCAAAAAGCTCCCAGACAGAAAAGAACCTATCAATAAACATATAACAAGAAGAGATTAGTCAGAATTCCTTTATGTGTTTTCTTACATTTATCTATTGAACAAATAACTGAAAATTACCACATTTCCACAGGGAGAGGTACAAGATAAATGGAGTAAGGATGCCCATACTCTTAAAGCAACTGAAATCTTAACAGGTTAAGACAAAGTTTGTGAATTAAAACCATACATTAAGATCTCTTAAGAGTGGTACGAAGTACTGGTGAAATTTAAGGCCAATTGGTGTAGTGTAGAAATAAGCAGGGAAGGAATTGGAATGATAAAGGCCAAAAAAACAAAAACCCTAAGAAAATCAAGTGTTATTCTTAAACAAATCAGTTGAGTTTGGTTTTGTCTCATAAATTTTGAGATGTGTGCCGTAGTTCCAAATGTGATGACTATTAAATAGGTCAGGAGGCCAGGAGAGAGAGCCAAACTATAAAACGGATGGTAATTTAAAAGTATGGAACTCTTTGAGACCACCAGGTAGAATCTGTGGAATAGAAGTGCTCAGATGATGGAAATTAGAAGTAAGTAGTCAAAAGATACTTAACTTAAAACCCCAAAAATGTGGTCGTTACTGAAACTGAGCTAAGAGGCTTGCCAGCGAAAGTGATGATTGATTATTATAAAGATGCACAGTATCCCTTGTAAACATTCAGTTTTATAAATGCCTAAGCATTAAAATACCGTTTTTTACAGATATGTTATTAATTAAATTAAATGACCCTAGGAATTAGTAAGGTTAGACTTCTGACATGTTCAGCCATCTGGATTAGAAGATAAAACCTAGCAATAAAAGGAGGGTAACAACAGAAAGCTGTCACAGGCCTGCCCACTTTATTTCCTCGAGCAGTAATTTCAGTCTTTTATCTACAAAAACTCACGTGACTGATAATATTTCCATGGAAGATACTTCCAAGGCATACTCCCATTGAAGAGGGTATATCTGAACACAAGTGGAACAACTTCAATATCTATTTTTTTAAGTACCTAAAACTTAGAGTAATAAATAAACTAAGCTTAGAGTAATAAATTGTTTCCCATCACAGTAGTTACTTGATGACTCTTGAGTGTCACTCAGCCAGCCAGGTTGCTCCTTGAACAAGGACTATGCTTTGTATTTTTTACATTTCTCCCGGCACCTAGTATAATACTTTGCACAGAGCAGGCACATATTTTAAATCTAAATTTTACTTCGACAAAGTATGTAACTAATTTTCAGAGGTTGGTATGTTTTTAATGGCCGGGAGGGAATGCTGACAGCAGAAAAGACACTAGTTTTAATTTAAAGCAAAGCTAGTTTCGTCTACTTTTGTACTCTTACAACGGCATTTTGAAACCTTTTGGCATTGGGAAAGTAGCATGAAAAAGCTCAACATTGTGTAAGGTCACCATTTTCTGCTCCTCTAAGAAGTGCACTACAGTCAACATATTTTAATGAGAATTTTAAATTTTAGTGAGTCTCAAAGTATCTAATTTTGTTTCTCCAATTTAATTCTAAGTGTCAGGTTGGTATTAGATGCTGATCAAAGTTAATCCTGAATCTTCAGGAAAATTATTATTCAGTGTAGCTTTTAATGAAAAATTGTATAATATGCTTTTGAAATGTTTGCATACAAAGTGATTAACATTTTACAAGCTTGCATAATGCAGGAATAGTTCGGTTACATGAGAAGTTCACTTGTGGAATAGTTTATTGTCCAACAGTGTTTTTAAATGAAGCATCACTGTATTTACTGGCACTATTTCACCACCGCTATTATTTTGGTTCATTGGTAAGCCAACGAACTTTAGTAAAATGATATATAAATGTTGTACTCAAAGCAGACTTTAGATACAATTAAAAACTTGTATAGTCCTATACTTTTGGCATACACTGTATGTCTACAGATGTTTGTGACTACAACTTTGAAAACTTGTTTAAAATTTGATTTCTCATCAACATTTTTATTTTATAATAAGTTCTGGTAATTCTGCTCTTTCCTTAACAGTGCCTGCAAATCTCATCTTGCTTGAAACAATAGATTAAAACCAGATTGGCAGTTGGGGAACGCTTTCTATTGCAACCATGTGTGTCAGAAGAAAGGATTAGGTTTCCTTGTCCAAGAACATCAAGGGGAACCTCCACCTCTGCAGACACACCTTTATTCCTCGGTAATGGAGAGTTTATATCTAGTTAGATTTAAATGGGATAAGGAAAGGGTTTAAATCCACTCTTAGCTCTAGCAGTGTAATCAGCCCTCCAGTCTCAAAGTATCTAATTTTGTTTTTCTAATTTAATTCTAAGTGTCAGGTTGGTATTAGATGCTGATCAAGGTAATGGAGAGTTGCCCTACATATTTATTCACTTAAGGAAGAATTTTGCAGACTGCAAATACTAGATGGCATCTATGTTCAAAACTTACTTAAAGCACAACCCATTCACCTCTGACCTTTCCTTTATATTAAATATGTTTTTCAAATATGGAGGAGGAGATTCCATAGTGGAGGTAAACCTAGCTCTTCATAAGTTGGGGTAGGGCCATGCCATCTTATGCTGGACTCAGATTCTAAGGACCTAAATCAAAGTGAGACAGAATCCACCTTTCTGTGAGATCACTTCTGAGTGTCACCAAAGTATGCAGGAAACTGTAATAATGACTGGGAGATTGCCTCCCCCCCCCCACCACCACCTTTGGCTTAATTCTAGTTCTGCCCCTCATTTCATAGCGATGAAAGTAATCCAAAGATACTAAGTACCTTGACAAAAATCACACAATGAATAAGAGTAGGATAGAAAGAACCACAATCTCTAGACAAGGTCTCTACATTAAGTGACACCAGTATAAAGTGAAGTAGTTAAGGCTAGGGCTGATCCAAAGGCAAGGTTTCACCTGAAGACACATATTTGTGTCACACGTCCAAGTCAAGGCAACTGAATGGTTTTTAAAGGGTTGATGTACTCATCTCTGACCCCTAACATTAAAAGATGCTGTCTTTCCCTAGCAGTCTGCGGGGAAGTGCATATTATACCATCTTCTTTGTGTGAGGATAATAAGCGGAGGCCTATCTGGTCTCTGGGAGAATGGCTTAGGAGGCTTAAGGGAGACTTTACTATCACTTTCCTGGAAGATGCCATCTAGCAAAATTAAGGGAGTGGCTGTGTGATGTGGGTAGCAAAATAGAATTATTCTCAGAGCGCATTTCCCTTAAAATTAAGAGCTAAGGCATAGTTTCTTCCAGATTCAACTTTTTTTTACCTTAAGAACCATCTTTCCTACTTCACAACTGGGAGTGGGAGAAGGTGACAAGGATGGAGAGAGCAGACATAACTGGATAATTTGCATGCACTGATCTTCAGAGAAATGACTCCATTACTGGTAGAGTCCTTAGCGTGGGGTACCAGGAAGAGGACTGATTTTATGGGGATGGTGCAGGCCCTGGAACTTTTGTTCATACTTAATCTTTTCTCTATATACTTTTTTCAAACTTCCACATCAGAGTACAGCTCTTCAAAGAAGACAGAGAATTGCTCCTGTAAGTATGGATCCAGAATGGGGAAAACAATTTTCTAGAAATGTAGGAGACTACTTTCAGTATTTTCTATTTCCATTGTTCACCCTCAGTCTTGGGATACATGTTCCATGGAAGAAAAGGAGCTTAGAAATCAGCGAATTAAAGTTTTGGAAGAGCATTTTACTTTGTTCTCTCTCTTTGCATGACGTATCTGTTCCAGAAGGTACGGCCCTGAAGACAAAACTTATATGTTACCTGAATACTCATTCTATTTTAAAATCACCCGTTGCTCCCAGCTACTTCATAATGGGTGAATAGGCTTCCCACTTCTGAGTCTATGTTTTACAAAAAGAACTAGGTCTCAACAAAGTTTCTTTGAATGTTTTTTAAATAGGCTCCTTTCTATTTTGTCTAGTAATCAAACTCTATTAGATCCTTTCCCATATTCTATCTCTGTGGTGTGATGCTAGGAACGACTGAAAGTGAGACACCATGGTTAGATCGTGATCTTTCTTAAAAAACAACATGAAAAGATAATCTTGATCTCCCTGAAACAGAGTGTTAAACCTCACTGCTTCAGTCAGATCCCATCTTAACTAGTTAGATCTGGAAAAGTTAGACTTTTCCAAAATCCACTGACAGTTGCAATCAGCTGAGATTTTCTTTACTTTTTGTCCTTAATAAGTAGAAGTGAGCATGAACTCGGAGAAAATTTGTATGCTGACCCCATTACTGATCTCAGTGAACCATTTAACCTTCATGTGCCTCTTTTGTCATATCTGTAAAGTGAGTAAAAATAGGAGGGTTACAAAGAAAATGA